TTTAATTAAAATTCAATTTTAATTAAATCATCCACCTTAGTATATTGTTAAAATTAGAGTTAGACTCTAATTTGACGTTTAATTGAAATTTGATTTTAATTAAATTGCCTCACTCTAAAATCTTTCTTGAAATTAGAGTTGTATTCTAATTTGGTATTTAATTAAAATTTGGTTTTAATTAATAGACCCGCCCTGTAATTGTTAAATTAGAGTTGGACTCTAATTTAATATTTAATTGAAATTTGATATTAATTAAATAAGCTCGTTAATTTAATTAATTAATTAATTAGATTATTAAAATTTAGAATTCTTAATTAAGTTACTGAACTTTAATTTGATTTCAAATATCACATCAGCCACTTGCCGTATCCCAAATTAATGAAAATTACTTAGTTGACATAAAAGGAATTGGACGTCACTCTTATTTTATCATTTTAGTTGAAATTTCGTCGCTCCATACAAAATGAATTTTCTTAACTCTTTAAAAAATGTATAAACTACCTAAGTGATCGTCCATTTAGAGCATGTTTTGCTAAGCTTAAAATCACCTTTAAGAACAATATATGGAGAAATACAATTAAAAATAAGTTACTTGTAAACATATTTTTAACTCAACATGCTCTTAATATAGGAAATTAGGAATAAGTTTTTCGACTTTTCAAGTAGTGTAGAAACCATTCTAACATCATGAAATTGAGTTTTTATGTAACGGATAATATGAAAGTTAAAGTTACACTCTAATTCACATTAAATTAAAAATATATTAAGTGACTTGTCAGTTTTATCCTCCCAATTTGAATCATGAATAATTCAATTTCACCAGAATTTCACCGGAAATCTCACATGGAGGTGGGTCCCACTGTGAATAAAATATTGCAAAAAAATGCCTGCCAACCTGTGTTGTTTCTTATCTGTTGGTTTTCTGTGTGTACAATACGGCAAAATTATTAAATCATTTGATCATCACTTAGGATCAATCTTAAACGTTAGAGTATCTTCAATAGACCCAAAGAACATATTTTGCAATTAGAGAGCATCTATAAATTTAGAGAGTACAAATTTTTAAATACTCCAACATCCTATTTATTTTTAACAATTAATTTTACTACTTTCAATATGTATTTATTATTTTTTCTATATTTTATTTTCACCAATTTTCCCCAAATTATTATGTTATATCCTTCCATTTTCTTTTTATATACTATTTAGTTGGATCAATATATAAAACATTGAAAATTTGAATATTTTGAATGCATTTAATTATAATTTGGAGAACCAAAACCACATTTCATTTTTAAATGCCAATTTGAAAAGTCTCTTGGAGTATAATTTTAAGTGTCATTCTTTAAAATAGAGATGCACTTAAGTTCTTGTTTGACCCTCATTTTTTATAATTAATTTTTTCTCAGACTTATTTTCGACTATATTTTCATCCAATAAAATTATTTTGCTTAAATCTAATTTTTTAATACTTTTTAATCATACATTTTTTAACAAATAATCACTTTTTATAAAATCTATTTTCAAAAAATCGTTGCTAAGCTGATTAAGCCCCTGTTTGGTTTAAATTAAAAAAAAAAAAGGTTTTTATTAGATTTTGATAAAAAATGATGGAATGTGTAAAAATTATGAGTCCATGAAATATATGATTATAATTAATAATTAATTTTAATTCAATTTTTTAATGGAACCCAAATAGGATCCAAATAAGTTGGGAGGGTCAAAACTTCACGGTTCACGCTTTCGAGATATTACTTCCAAGTAACCCCAAAAAATTAGCGTGTCCTTCCCCATATTTATACTTAACACGTGCACAAAGTTATAAGAAAATTCTAAATTAAAAATATGTAGTCATGATAAAAAAATTAATCTCCTATTTAATGGGAATTAAAATTAGACTTTTAAGCAATTTTTGTTAAAAAATGATGAATTATATGATTAAAAAATTATGAATCTCATAAAATATATTATTAGCCACTGTTTGAGCCACATTATTTTTTCATTCTTATTCTTCTACTCATTTTCAACTATACAATCTTTAATAAAATAATATTTTAATAAAATTCCTTCTTTTTCAATCACATAAAAAAAATGCAATCTTGGAGAAAAAATGTGCACCAAACGGGGGCATAATCTTAATTCTTAGCTCTTGTTTGTTACATATTAAAATTCAGATTTTAATTTAAATCAAAATCAATAACTAATTTTAATTACATATTTTATGCATCTTACAATTTTCAACCATACATTTCAACAATTTTTATCAAAATTAGCTAAAATTTCGATTTTAATTTCCACCAAACAGGGCTTAACTTTGACTTAAATTAAAATATAAATTCAATAAAACTCCCAAGTACAAGAAAAATGTAACACTTAAATTAAAATATAAATTCGATAAAATTTCAAGTACAAGAAAATTTTAATAGAATTGATAACAATGCTGATGTGATCAAACATGATTGGTCTTTTTTTCCATCTTTCAACAATGCCACATCAAGTGGTGTCTATCAAAAAAATTTGTATTAGTAGCTAAATAAGAATAGTTTTAATTTAAATAAGATATTATGCATGTGCATTAGCCCATAATCACGGCGAGCATTTTGCTATATGCAATCATATTCCACCGCGTTTCGCCGGAGACAGCCAAGAGAAGAATGAGGCAAAAAAAAGGAAGCAGAATCTTCACTTTTCAGACGACACCAAAAACAGAGCCCAGAAAACACTAAAAAAACAACCCACTATCACGAGACCACTACACAAAGACAAAACCAAACGCAACTCCTTTACTCTATTCCTTCTCTTGCGTCAAATTCTTTGTTTTTCCAATTTACCAAGTTCTTTAATCTTCTTTTGTTCACACACACATTTACAGATTCATAAAGATTTTGCGAAAGCTGAAAAGGTGGCCATTAGCTCCATAACTTTCCTTATTAATAAAAAACTAAAAAAGGCAAAGAGCAAACCAAGAAAATATTCTTTCCTTTTCGTTTCCTTTACTTCCTTCCACAACCCAGTTTCAACTCTCTTAAATTCACTTTGTGAATTGGAGGATTAAAGGGAAAAAAATGGCGACTTTGGGGGATATAGGTGTGTCTGCAGCGATAAATTTACTTACTGCTTTTGCATTCTTGCTGGCTTTTGCTTTGCTCAGAATTCAGCCCATCAACGACAGAGTTTATTTTCCCAAATGGTACATTGCTGGCAAGAGGACCAATCCCAGGAGTGGTGGTGGTGTCGTTGGAAAATTTGTCAATCTCAATTTCAAGACTTATCTCACTTTTCTCAATTGGATGCCTCAGGCTTTAAAAATGAGTGAGGATGAGATTATTCGCCATGCTGGGCTTGATTCTGCTGTTTTCCTGCGGATTTATACTCTTGGGTACTGGCAAATTTTCAATTTCCAACTTATCTTCTCCTTGTTTTTTTTTCTATTTGATTATGGATAATTCTGAATCGAGTATTATCAATTTAATTGAGATTTGTCTTGAAGATTTATGCCTTAAAGGTTGCCGAAAGGTTCACTTCCCCCGTTCTTTTTAAATAGAATGACTTTGGAATGCTGTTTGCTAACAATAGAGGGTTGTTGCATTTGGACATTTTCAACTTGATTATTCTGGGTAGGTGCAAAGTTTAACCATTTATGCTTGGGAGGAATATGTTTTTTCTGTGGGTTCTGGTTCTGTGCTTCGCAAACTTGTGAGATTTAAAGGTGTTAATGTTATTCTGTTGTTATCTTGAGAATTTACAGTTTGTGGATGCAAATAATTATCTTTATATATTCTCTGTCCCTTTCAAAATTTTGGATTTTAAAATTGGAAACTTCATTATGTTGTTTTCTTGATATTTGACTTATACTCACGGGAGCCTTTATTTAAACGAAGAAGCTAAAGTTTGGGGCAGTCAATTCTTTAAATCCGTTTTAGGTTCAGGAATAGTTTAGAACTTTGGGTTCAAGTCCAACTCAACATATTTTCACAAGATGCTGGTTCTTAATTGTTGATGGGAAATTTATTTGTTGAGATGGGCATTGATACACGACATTGTTAGCCTTAGCCACTTGGCAGTATGCAATGAACAGATGAAAGCTGTCTTTGAAGTTTCTCAGTCATCTTTCTCTTCTATTGCAATTCACGTTTAGGAGTGACAAATTTGTTACGGCGTAAATTCAAGTGTTTTGCATAAAGTTCTAAAATTCTCAATTCGGTTTTAGAATTCTGAAATTTCTCTCTTAAGTTAACTAAGCCGTTTTCTCTATTTGTTTTGACAGCTTGAAAATATTTGGACCAATAGCTCTTGCGGCACTCCTGGTTCTCATTCCAGTGAATGTATCTGGTGGAACTTTATTCTTTCTGCGCCGTGACTTGGTTGTCAGCAACATTGACAAGCTTTCGATATCAAACATTCGTCCCAAGTCTTATAAGTAAGTTCATTGTCCTTTTACTTAGAAGATAAATGTAAATAGTATAAGCTAGATGCTAATAACTGAAATATCCTTCACTGAAGAGAAGAAGTAGGCATTTTGATAATTGTGTGTGCGATTTATTTTGATATTTTTTCACTAAAGAAAGATGCTGAAAAGGGTTACTTGAATGAAAGGTATGAATTGGTTTTTTGTATTTTGATCCACGATAGCACCAAAGATAGAGAGGGAAAATTGTTTAGGAAAGAGAAAAGGCTTGGAGTCCAATACTAGAATATAGTATTATAAGTAGAGTGCATGATCTATTAGTGCATCATCTTGGATGATTAAGAACAGTAAAACTCAGCTTCTTCCTAAGTCTTCCATCAAGTTTCAGACCTAAGAGAAGAGCTTTTATTGTTGAATTTCAGGTTTTTTATCCACATATCAATGGAGTATTTGTTTACTTTTTGGACTTGCTACATGCTTTATAAGGAATATGGAAGAGTTGCATCAATGCGGTTAAAATTTTTGGCTTCCCAAGGCAGGCGTGCTGAACAATTCACGGTTAGTTAAACTTGCATTGCCATTCTGATATCAAGTATGAACACGGACAATTTCCTGCATTTCAGTAAAGGAAGATGAAAACTATGTGTTCATATTGTTTCAAGGTACCTCATAATCGAATGGCTATTCATTCCTATCGCATTTTTTTTAAAACTAGAAGTATTAAGGAAGTAAAAGAATAAGTGTGTAAATGGTATACAAGATGAAGAGAACTTGCTTTTAGAGATGAACGTTTTTTACATCACTTCATTTGTCAGAGATCTTATCATCAAGAGTGAGCTACCAAAATTGGAAGGATAAGGTTGTACCATGAAGAACGAAAATAAAAGGTACTGATGCACCGAGGACAATCATGCACAACTACTGGTGCTGTAAGGACACTTACATTTGTGAGTTTGAATGATTATAGAGTTTTAGGTGAAAGTTGAAAAGGCGAGTATTTTCAAGTGTATGTTCATTTTAGCCTTTAAACTAATGGCTATAACTTTTGTTAGTCTTATTGTTCCCTAAGGGCGTGTTTGATATGATAATTATTTGTGGATACCTTCATAAAGGAAATAGGAGTATTCCATTGTGGAAGGAGAGGGGGTATTTCGATAGCTTGCCAACTCTGAGGATCTGAATTGGGGTCAAATATGAAGACCACGATCAAGTTCAATTTCAAAAGTCATGTGATGTTTCTATCTTAACATTGTTACAATTCCTCATTTTTCAATCCAAAAACAAGTTCTTTCATACTTCAATGATTATGCATCTTTTCAGTTATTTCATGATCTATCATTCTCTGGCCAATGTTTTCTTCCTCTTTGTCAAATTCATACAATCTTTGGCTGCTTTTCAAGTTGACTACTGAAAGCTCCTGGTGACCTCCACCTAGGTTTGTTGAGTAAGAATTTTGCTTAGTCGTCAATTTTAGATGTGATTTTTATCATGGCAAATGAAAAATATAATGGCTTAGATGGATCTTTTCATTGTCAAGAAACCAATATTTAATCTGTGTAGTCAGTTTTGAAATGAAAGGCCATGCACATGCATACTCTGTTTTCTAGATTCTTGTTGACATGCATTTCTCTAATTTGCAACGTGTTTTAAAATAAATGTGTACCATCTTCAGGTTCTTGTTAGGAATGTGCCACATGTTTCTGGGCGCTCAATATCGGATAGTATTGAGCACTTCTTTAAGAGAAACCATCCAGATCATTATCTCTGTCACCAGGTAATTTGTTGTTTCTCCCAAATTCTTTGTTTTGATAAATATTACATATAATATCATTTTCTTAGAACTCAGATTCTCTACTCTAAGTAGAATTTTTTCTTGAAATAGAATTCATACTTACTTGATTATTTCCAAATTTCTTGACTTGGAAGTGCTTTCTTTTTCTGTGTCTTTACCCAGGCCGTGTACAATGCAAATAAGTTTGCTAGACTTATCAGAAAAAGAGACCGGCTTCAAAATTGGCTGGACTACAACCAACTCAAGTCTGAGAGGCATCCAGAGAAGAGGCCAACTAGCAAGGTAGCACTTTGTGTGTTAAAATTATTTGACCTTGATATTTGAAGACATAAAATGAAACATGCACGTACAACTATATTACCTGGCACAAAGTCTCATTTTTGAATATTTAACATGTTTATCATTCAGAAAGGTTTCCTTGGACTCTGGGGTAAAAAAGTTGATTCCGTTGACTTCTACAAAGAGCAGATTAAGGAGCTTGATAAAAAAGTGAGTCGTGCTTTCTACTTTTATTTAAGATCAATTTACTACCAAGCACTTTGTATTTTTCTTTTATATTCTTTCCTTCTCCCATCTCTTAGTACTCACCTCGATTAATTAAGCTTGCTTTCTTATTGATCTGGCAATTGCATTTCTTTCTTATAAAATTACTCTTCATCCCTTGCTTAGTTGACGATGGAACGCCAAAGAATTCTGAAAGACGCTAAAGCGATCATTCCTACTGCTTTTGTGTCATTTAATTCTAGATGGGGGGCAGCTGTTTGTGCACAAACACAACAGAGCAACAATCCCACCTTGTGGTTAACAAATTGGGCCCCCGAACCCCGCGATGTATACTGGAAGAACCTGTCTATACCATTTGTTTCTCTTAGCATTCGGAAACTCGTCATATCTATATCGGTGTTTGCATTGGTCTTCTTTTACATGATCCCAATTGCTTTTGTACAATCATTGGCAAATTTGGAAGGGTTGGAGAGGGTTGCTCCGTTTCTTAGGCCGCTGATCGAATGGTAAGTTCTTCAGAAAAGAAACATCTTTTTTTGACTGACGCTGCAGTTTTGTATCTATGCGAAAACTACAGACCTCTTTTGCTAATGGCAGAGTAATTATCAGTGGGATAATCATATATGTTACAAATAACTGAATTTTTATTTGAGTTAAATTCCCACTCTACAGTATGTATTTTTCTCAATGTTGCAGGACATTTTATAGTTTTGCGTTTAGGCATTTCCTTGATTTTTAATTTCCTCAATTCATAATCACCTTCTAATGTTGTCTTATGTTTCCAATTGTCTGCTATAGGGGTACAAACTCTATGTTAAAAATATTCAATTCGTTTGTATATGTCCTAGTTGTTTATGTAAAAGGTACTTTAAGTCTGTAAATGATAAATGCTTTGAACCAATTTGGTGGAGAACAACNTTTATGCTCCTGAGATAAGCGAACACTTGTATTCTCACTGTTTATTTTTTGTCTATGAACTGTGGAACCAAATTTGTAAAACTAAGACCGCTTTAATATATATGCTCAACACAAGAGGCTATAAATGCAACCGAAAACCTGATTCACTTTATGAAGTTCCGCATTCCTGACAATGTAAGTGAAGTTTTCATTTTTATGCTTCTGAGATAAACAAAAAATTGTATTCACACTATTTATTCTGTCTATAAACAGTGGCAACTTTGTAAAACTAAGACCGTTTTAAAATAAATCTCCATATCTAGGATTGTTGATGATATGAATATAAAAATGTTTATCATGCAACTCTTTGTTTTCCATGAAGTGCATGATTTTGCATAGACCACAGATATCATTTATTTGCTTTTCTTCTTCTAAGTTCAATCAAATATCTTTAGGTAGTCAACATGATTCAAATATGTATCTTTCGCTCTTTACGTTTTATTTCTTTGATGTGTGTCTTGTCTATGGAACTTTGTCAAATCCCTCATTCTCATTACAGTGTACTTGTTGTCCTATTGACATTTGTTAAATCTTAATGATTTTCTTGGATACTACGTCAAATTTGGTGTTTAGCTATTTACTTGTGTTCTTAGATTTAGCAAAAGCTGCTGATTTTGTTTGCAGGAACTTTGTCAAGTCGTTCCTACAGGGTTTCCTTCCTGGTCTGGCGCTTAAAATCTTCTTGTACATTCTTCCTGCAATTTTAATGGTTATGTCAAAAATAGAGGGACACATGGCAGTATCAGTACTAGAAAGGAGAACAGCTGCAAAATATTACTACTTCATGCTCGTTAATGTTTTCTTGGGGAGCATAGTGACGGGAACAGCATTCCAGCAACTTCATGCCTTCCTTCACCAATCAGCTACCCAGTAATAGTCCTTATTTCTCTTGTTGCTTTAGTTATTGTTTTAACAATCAGGCCCAAAATCCATTACTTCTCAAAACTAGAAAAGGACTAAAAATAATTTTGGGTACTCGATGGAGTTATTTTGATTGCATGTTCTAAACCAGCTTTTTCAGAAGTTGATTTGTTCGAATAATTATAATTTTAAATTTTATTAGTTTGAAAAAATATGTTTGTCCCTGACTATGGTTATGTTGGTGTATGTGGGTGAGTTTGCTTACTCCCATCATATGAAAAAATTGAAATTATGACACTTGCATACCAATTAAGAAAATTGAATAAAAAGTGCCACCTCACTCATTTTACATCACTTTCCGTTTCCCCCCTGCTCGCCTTTGTTCTGGAAAGATGTGAAGGATATGGTAATGCCCTTTTTTTCTTTTTTTTCTTTTCTATGATTTCTGAATGAATTTTTTCGTGATTGCAGGATCCCACGAAACATTGGAGTCTCAATTCCCATGAAAGCTACTTTCTTTATCACGTACATAATGGTCGATGGGTGGGCTGGGATTGCTAGCGAGATTCTCCGATTGAAATCTCTAGTGATTTTCCACCTGAAGAACATGTTCATTGTAAAAACTGAAAGAGACCTAGAGAAGGCCATGAACCCCGGAGGCGTTGATTTTCCCGAGACTCTGCCAAGTCTTCAATTATATTTCCTTCTGGGTATTGTATATATGGTTGTTACCCCGATCCTTCTTCCTTTTATACTGGTCTTCTTTGCCTTCGCATACTTCGTTTATCGTCATCAGGTTAGTTCTCAATTGAATTTTCACTTCTGTTTTCTTATTCCAACTTGTACAGTTTGATTCATCAATTTTTGCAATTGTCAATTTGAAGACGTTAACTCATTTTTAAGTTCTAAAAGCCATGGGGTATGTCAACCCTGCCATTATTAGAGCTAGCTATTTGGATATGTGCATGTCCTGAATTTTTGAAATAATTCTAAGTGTTCCAAAAAGCATGTTTGCCTAAGCTTAAAAAATTTATTGTAAGTAAATAAGTTATTTTTCTAAATGCATTAGCTTTTTTATTGGTCATAGTTAAAATAAGTTACTTATTTTGATAGTAAGATAGGTTTATCTTTAAAATAAGTCATCCAAACATATTTGAAAACGAAAAGTTACTTAAAAGTATCTTTTACATTTTGTTTAAGCATTGCCAAACATGCTTGTTCTATTATATTAATTGTTCCGAATATAGCCTGTTGGCAAATATTTTGAAGGACATGCATAGGTAAAAGATATTGTCACTTTTAGCATTGTAATCGGTATTTGAGTAAAGCACCTGATTTTTTAACTTGCGGTTTCGATAGACAGTAGATGTAATAATTTCCAATCTTAGATCTTTGATGTTACCACTTATTCTCATTCAGGTCATTAATGTATATAACCAAAATTATGAAAGCGCCGCTGCCTTTTGGCCACATGTTCATGGGCGCATAATAGCAAGCTTACTAATATCACAGCTGCTGCTAATGGGCTTATTGAGCACAAAAAAAGCTGCAAATTCCACACCTTTGCTCGTTGTGTTACCTATTTTGACTTTGACCTTCCATAAGTACTGCAAGAATCGCTTTGAACCTGCATTCAGAAGATATCCTCTTGAGGTGAGATCGATTGAATAATTGATAATTCAGAAGTTATCATTTTGTTCAGTTCTTGCTCAGTTAGATCTAGGTGTTATTTCTTAGTAGCTAAATATTCAGTCCATTCAATGTCGCCGCTGTTATGATAGTCCAGGGATTAGTCGATCACATGAAACTGCAGAAGTGCTCTTCCACGGGCATACACGCGTTTTTATATGAAAATTTTGTACACTCAGTTTTTTCAATATGTTTATGGAGAGGGTCGAACATTAGAATGCTATTGAAATCACTAATGGCTATGTTCTAAACTTAGTTTTCTTTTTATCGTTTCTTCTATTGATTGATGGTTCTTCCGATCCTGACTGCTAATTATTTCTTTCGGCTATTGAACTCTTCAGGAAGCGATGAACAAAGACATGGAAGATCGTGCTTCTGAATTCGATACCAATTTAAAATCATACTTGGCTGATGCATACTTACATCCGATTTTTAACTCCTTTGAAGAAGTCGAATTAGTTGAAGTCAGAGTTGATAAAAGCCAAGTTCACATTCCGAGTCCTTCTCCGAGTGATCCTAGCTCTCCCTCCCCTCCTCGTCATGCCTATCAGCCTGAACATGAGCCGTCTCATGATGTCAATCGCTATGAAGTCGAACAACATCAAACAGCATATCACTATGACGTTGAATCATACAGTAACATGTTTCAGTATGATACTGAATCAAACCATCATGTCTATCGCTATTAAAGTTTGATCTTTAGTAGATTGGTAAGCAGTTCATTCCGGTGTAAAGTCCTAATTGCGGGCTTGGTGTGTTGGAGTGTACCGTGTTGGATAGGATTATAGAAGGAAAACGAGTTAAAGTTGTAGCCGTCGAGGTGACTGACTATTGTAATCATAGATATAGCTTAACATTGTTTGCCTACTTAAGTATGCTTCTTTTCAGTTGTAGTTTTTGTCAATTGGTGTAAATGTAAGTTGTTTTTATGTGTTTTTAATGATTCTTCTTGCCATCTTCAACGTGCTTTTTAATTTACCTAGTAACTAGAGGTTTCTTGGCTGAATCTGTTGATAGAACCGGTTTTGAATGCCTAGTTCTTAGCTTTAACGAACGTATGGAGGGACAGTGACTAAGACAAAAAAAAAAAAGGAATAGCTACAAAAGGATAGTGTTCTATGAATTGTATGATGCAGGTTCGGCTGCAGTCAACATCAATGTGTTGATTTTTGTTTGAAGCTTGGCTTATAGTTGAAGCAATGTCTGGCCATGAATTGCAGCTTCAAGTGCATATTTTATCCTCACTTGGCATGACTTGTGGAAATCATAATTTGATCAATATGTTCATTTATTTATATCCATTTATGCTATTTTTGTCTAGTTGTAGATTGTGAATTTTGGTTTCTTTTGCCAAAAATATAATGTATTAATGATTGGCGTGAATGACAAAAAGTGTATATCAAGTATTTTAACCACGAAATACTTGAAAATAAAAATAAAAATTAATAGCCCATTAAATATATGGTGCCAAAAGTGCCTTCGAAAATTTTTATGAGACAAAGATGAGATGTCAAAAATGTATAGTAGTAGTATGAGCCAGACAGTTGGTTAGATCTAATATAAATTATATATAAATCGTAATTGAAGTAAGACGTTCTTTAAAAAGTCTCTGGTATGAGATCTTGAAGGATTTGTGGCTTGAGATTGTTTTAGCACGAACGCTTTTGATTTTGAATTGTCTCATGCAAATTATCGTCTTCATAAGGTCCTTTGCAATTCATGTTTTGATTTATAATAATGAGAAGATCGATTTTAAATTAATAAATATGTATTTTCTTTAATGTTCTAATATTTTAGATGATGTGACTAGAGAGCTGGTAAAAGTTTTTGAGTTCGAGATTATTATTTGGCCTCTGATGAGAAAATAAATTTGGAATTCACCAGGAGAAACACCCCAAAAATAATAATTTTTTTCAAATGTTTACTTTCAATGTTGTTTCTTGTTCATCGTAATGTCTCCTTTCGAAAATTAATGATTTCAATGATGTGGCAAACAGTGACGGACCCAGGATTTCGAGTTAGCACGGGCGGCCGTGGATCGTGGACTGTTGTGCAATAAAATATTAAGAGCTCGTTTAATGTCCATTTTTTGCAAAAATAAAAGATGCATTTTGGAATAGTGATTTGATGGAGAATGTGTGTTAAAAATAAGGAAAACTTTTGAATTTGCATTTAATATTATATTATTGAAAATTTTGTGGTTGAAAGAAGAGAGGAAAATGTATTTTGAAAAAAAAAAATCAAACAAGGTCTAAAATTTAAATATAACAATTTATTCAAACTGAACATATATAATTTTGTTGTAAAAATTAGCAATATTCACCAAATAATATTGTGGCTAAGTTTTGTATAATTTAAAGGAAGAGAATGTGTTCAAATTTTTATAATTGCATTAAAACGCTAAAATGTAACATATATCATTCTGGCAAACTTTTTATCAAATTCAACGAGTTCTACAATGGTCAAGCTGTCAATATTCTAAGGGTTGGTCATGGGTTTGAATCTCCCCTTTATCCCATTTAATTTTGGTAAAAATTGTATAATTTAAAATATTTCACAATAAAATGGTGGGAAAAGAGAGTCGAAACCGAGACTTTCCATACATTTAATGAGGATTCCAACCAACTGAGCTACAAGAAATTTGGAAAACAAAACAAGTAACCAGGTATATATTCTAAAACCTTTATTCACTTAAAAAAAAAAGTTCTCGGCGGATTCAGCATGGGCGGCCGCTTGAGCTCGCGGGTGTTGGGTTCGCCACTGGTGGCAAACGAAATCATTAATATTGCAAATGATCTGAAGTGACATATGGGAGACAATGTTAAAATTTACAATAAAGTTGCATGTACATGAATTTTTAATAGAGATTGAACAGCACTTCAATGCCCTATTAACCTATTTTTTTTTTTTTTCCCATTCCAATGCTAACTTGCCAAATGTATTTCATGTTAAAATTCTGTAAAATCTTTCTATACTCATAGCATTGTTCTAAAATTGAAGTGACCACTGAGAAACAACTTTAAAAAGGGCTTCCAGGGTATACAATATATCTACATAGTTCATTTTCTCCATTTTTCGTGATTCTTGGATTGGAAATTATTATTATTATTATTTATTAATTTTTGGTATCTTGAAAATGAATTTTTCCTTGCATTATATCTGTCAGATTTTTTCGCATATCAATTGTACTGAAATTGTCAATTCAAGTATTCATTAAATTACTCTTAAAATAGATAGATCTGATATTAGGATTGCTCGACAAATTTGTTTTATAGGTGCAATTTCTCAATCTTCGAACTATTTCGAATTCTGTAATATTTGTATATCGAATTCTGTAGAGCAAGGGATGAAGAAGCTGGAGAGATTCCTGTTGCATTTGTAGTCTGGCAAGATGGGAATTCACTCCAACATAGTGCTAATGGACTACGTGCCTCAGTAGGTTATTACCTTGTGCTCAAAGGCGAAGCTAAGATTGTAGAGTTGTTGGGACAAATTAAGTGATAATATAAATTACAGTTCCAATATTATAAAAATTCAACATGAAAGATTATACTACCCGAAAGATAACATTAATATATCATATCCATCATCAGACAACATTGCATAATTTCTGCCTAAATGACAACATTAGTTTCAAAAAAAATCCATATCCCAGAAAGTAGAAATTATTACACTTATATTTACGTCTTCATAGTTTCTCTCGTTGAGCCTTCATGTTCTGAAAACAATGGATGATTTTCTCCTCATTAGTATTGTAAGGCCTCAAGAACATGCGGAAGCAGTCATACATTCACCAAGAATACCAAATTCAGATTAACACAAAGAAGAATTGAATGTTACAATGGGGTCGGAAACAAATCATTGTACCTGTCTGTACAATATAGAATCGGCCTCAAAATACCCAAACCCTAAGACAATAAACCAAGAGGCTACTACAATGGACCCGATCGAACAAATCGATCTACAACTCGAAAATCCCCTTCTATCACTAACACAATATCACAAAGATAATATTCACTAAGAATAATTGATTAAAACCAAGTGTTTTAATTTCTTCACAAAGAACAAAACACAAGAAGGAAGAAATGAGTAAAAGCACGAAGCACAGAATTCCCCAGAAGCCTTCTCACGCACCAAGCAAGAGAAATAATGAATGTGATCTACAAATAGGAAAGGTTAGGCTAGTATATATATAAAAGCCCAACAAGAAAGCCAACAAATCAGCCCTCTAATCAACTGGGCCAAAGCAACTAACTTAAATTTATTCATTGGGCTTGGGTTTTGGGCCTGAGACTAATTGCGTTATTGGGCAATGGTTATTTTCCTTATTTCCAGCAATATGGACCAAGCCCATTAGTTTCATCATTGCCCCAAATGTTAGAAAACTAATGACAATAATGGCATCATTTTTCAACAATCTCCCCCTTGATGTCGATGTCATAAGCAACCAAACACATTAGTACTTATTAACACCAACATCAAGGAGATCATCACTTGCAGGAACACAAAGTTACCCAATATCAATTCTTAGAATTTTAAACATGATTTAAACTTGGAAAGATGAAGTATCTTTGTTCCCATATCCACGGGATTAAATTGTGTAGGGATTTTTTCAAACAAAATAGATTCACAAGCCTTTAAGCCACAAAGACTCTTTTATAGTTTCAGTAGTAGATAAAACAACAATAGACTGCCATTGAGACTTCCAACTAATGCAACTACCACACAAAGTAAACACATATGCAGTTGTTGATTTCCTATTGTCCTTATTACTAGCATAATCAGAATCCACATACCCTTTCAACACAATAACTCTCTCTTTACAAGATTTAAAATGCAATTCTAAATCTGCAAAACCTTTTCAAGTATCTTTAAAAAATCATTTTAATGCGATCCAGTACAGCATATCATCCACATACAAAAGTAGATAAACAATCACATCATTCTTATAATTTCTTTTAAAATAAAGACAATGATCAAAGGCACTACGCACAAAGCCAATAGAAAACACATAATTGTCAAATCTAATGTACCATTGCCTAGGTGATTGTTCCAAATCATACAAAGATCGATTAAGCAAACAAACATGATTAGGCTTTTTCGAATCAACAAAATCTTGAAGTTGTATCATACAAATCATTTCATCCAAGTCACCATGCAAGAAGGTAGTTATAACAACCATTTGTTCTAACTCTAAAACATATTGAGCAACGAAAGTAAGCATGACTTTTATAGTAGTATATTTTACAACATGAGAGAAAATATCATAATAATCAATTCCAGGTTTCTGAGTAAACCCCTTTGCAACAAGTCTAGCCTTACACCTAAGAGGCTACTTGAAAACTAAGTCTCGATATAACAAAACAACAAATGATTGATAATCACCCATCCTCACGGGTACCCAAATCTCCATCCTAACTCTATTACGAGCAAGTTGATAATCACTTAGAAGATCAATTACATCACCTACTAAGTCATGTTCACCACCTTCAAAAGGTTCATGAGAACCAATGACACCATCATTCTCCTCATCAACCTCATTCTCAACTTGTTCCTCCTCAACAACCAGGAAAATAACCTAATCTAGCTTGCATCCTAGTCTCCTCATCCTCATCACTCTTAGGATCATCACTAGAGACTCTTTTACCCAAAATATGCAAGCCCTTTCCACTCACATGAGCTAGCCTATTATGCCACTTCAGGGTAGCATCAATCTCAGCACTAGAGGACTCAGCAATGTGACTCTGAACTACACTGGCTCTAGTGACATATATACTATTCCTCTTGGTACCTTTGAAAATAACTAAGGAACCTTTAATTACTTTCAAAAAATCATTACCAATCCGGCCTTGCAGGCCTATGTCATCTAGATTACCCATAGAAATCAAGTTCCTATTCAAATCAGGAATATACCTTACTCTTTCTAAAGTAAAGGTATATCCATTGTCAAACTTCAAAATCACATTGCCAATTTCTTTAATGCTACAAGCTACATTGTTACCCATAACCACCTCTCCACCATCAAGATCCTTAAAGTTCTCTAACTAAGGTCTTCTAGAGGTTATATGGAATGTACACCCTGAATGCATAATCCACTCACTATCCTGACCACTGTCATCTACATAATTGACAGTATTCCAATCATAAGTGAGTTCTGTCACCACATACACATCAACAGACTTCTCATCTAGAGGTTCAACAACATTCCCCTCATCCACTCTCATCTCTCTCTGTTCATTCATCTTCTTATAACAGTCTTTTATAAGATGTCATGTCTCTCCACACCCATAGCACTTCCTAATTCGACTCCTAGACTTAGATCTAGAGCTCCATTTCCCCTTTCTCTTAGAATTGTTATGATTGCTCCCTTGATAACTCTGACCATTGACTTGCCTAGCCATAGGTCTACCTCTCACAGACAAACTCTCAAAATCCTTCACAGTTTTATCAACCTTAAGCTCTAATTCTTTACTTCTCAAAGAATTGATCACTATGTCCGGAGTTAAGGTACTCTACCATACTTAATAGCAGACTTAATATCATTATACACATCAGGTATAGCATTCAAGAGGATAACAACTTTATATTCGCCAGACACTTTCTCCCCAGTAATAGCGATATCTTGAACTAATTTATTAAAAGTACCAAGATTATTATCTGAGTCTTTAAACATATCAATCTTAAAGCTAAAGAACCTTTCTAAAAGGAAGAGTTTATTAGGCAGACTCTTAGACATGTATTGCTCTTCTAACTTTTCCCACAAAGCCTTAACATTATCAAGTTTACTAATTTTTCTCAACACTTGATCAGATAAATGAAGAATTATAGAAGTATAAGAAAGTTCATCATATTCAAGTTTTTGATCATCAGTCATAGTAGTAGGAAATTCACAAGTTATAGCCTTAGAGACTTTTTGTTGAACTAAGACCCCTCTCATTTTTTGCTGCCAAATGGGAAAGTCCCATTTTCTGTTAAAAACTCAAAGTTCAAATGTTGCCATTGTCATTTGAAGTTTTTAATCAACACAAAATATTTTTGAGGTCACAGTCCCACAGAAAAAACAGGAAACAGGTACTTCAACACAAACAACTTTGAGTCACACAACTTCTCAGTGCAAAACAAAAAATCAGGGATGAAGATATCAATTTCATTTCAGGCTTACAACTAAGTGAACATAGATAATAAGTAGGTTTAGTAAGCTCAATGAATCAATCAGAAGATAAATAGTGAGATTAAAAATAGGCTAACTATCACAAATAAATTCACACAGAATTGAGCAGTTGAAATTAAACAGACTAATAACCAAAATACTAACAATTTCAGGTGTTAGAATTCACCAAGATTTCGTGAGGTTCAAGACCCCAGGTCAATGCTCAATTCTAAACACCATGTAACACAATTAACAGGGAAAATCAAGGGGAAGTGACAATATTCAGAATGTAGTAATAAAACAATCAAAAACAAGGAATGCATGGGGGTTAAGGAGTATATCACCAAGCTGGTTGAAGAACCAGCACCAAGAAGAAGGGATTGGGGACTCTGCAGAGCACCTAGCTAGCAGTCCAATCCTCCAATTCGTTCACCAAGAATATATTTCTCACAAGAATTACAAACAGAGAACCAATTAGTAGCCAATTCGAAACAATAAAGAAGAATTAGGGTTTACTGCAATTAAATCGAGAAATCGAATGTCAAACAATACCTTAATTTTCCCGTGACCAAATCTCGATCGAAGGCTCCTCACACCCTCAACAGCGCTCTGATACCACTTGTAAGGATATGAGCCTCAAGAACCCGCGGAAGTAGCCAAGCATTCACCAAGAATACCAAATTCAGATTAACACAAAGAAAAATCGAATGTTACAACGAGTTCAGAAACAAATCATTGTACCCATCTGTACAATATAGAATCAGCCTCAAAATACCCAAACCCTAAGACAATAAACCAAGAAGCTACTACAATGGACCCAATCGAACAAATCGATCTACAACTCGAAAATCCCCTTCTATCACTAACACAATATCACAAAGATAATATTCACTAAGAATAATTGATTAATACCAAGTGTTTTAATCTCTTCACAGAGAACAAAACACAAGAAGGAAGAAATGAGTAGAAGCACGAAGCACAGAATTCCCCAGAAGCCTTCTCACGCACCAAGCAAGAGAAATAATGAATGTGATCTACAAATAGGAAAGGTTAGGCTAGTATATATATAAAAGCCCAACAAGAAAGCCAACAAATCAGCCCACTAATCAATTCGGCCAGAGCGACTAACTTAAATTTATTCCTTGGGCTTGGGTTTTGGGCCTGAGACTAATTGCGTTATTGGGCAACGATCAATTTCCTTGTTTCCAGCAATATGGGCCAAGCCCATTAGTTTCATCATTGCCCCAAATGTTAGAAAACTAATGACAATAATGACATCATTCTCCAACAAGTGTTAGTATCAAATGTATCCTTTTTAAAGTATGTAACCAAGCTATATTTTATCCATTTA